CGGTTCCCCTCACATTTCCCACATATTTTTGAGCAAAAGAGCCCTACTCGTCGGCAGCCGCAGTTACCTTCTTGCATGAGCATGCCTCCAGTTTCAAGAGAGCATCTGGGGCTGGGCTCCGTAAGGTAGTAATAGGAACAAATGAGTTTGCAGTCTTTCTCCAGCCCCAATCCTCGGGTGACAACTTCTTTCTTGAACTTGGTAAAGCACCCTCTGGGAGTGTTGTTCAGCAGCAGCTTCAGTTGGTAGAAGAGATAATATATTACCATTCATCTTATAAGCTGATGTAATACAACTCTTGAATCGCAGCTTATTCAGCTTGTTAGTGATATGGTTACCACCCTACAAGGCCACCAAGAGTCTCTCCCCTGCCTCGGTAATTTCGTTTGTTGTTGAATTGGAATTAGATAACCGGCAAAGATAGGTATAGAGGTCGTTATATCTTATAACTGTATTATGACTCGACGTCCGCTCTATTCCAACAAGGTACTAAAGACACTAAAGACAGTCAAGAAAATAAAGACGGCAAGTGAGGTAAAAAAAGTAAAATAAAACTATAGTTGTACATGTTAATTTAATAAATAGAAGCTCGTCTACAGCATTTCAGTCAACATCCCTGTCTATTTTCTGTATATAGTGTGTCCATTTATAATGATACTAGCTATATAATGTACATATATGGAGAAAATGTTATCCATACTGCAGCCTTAGCATATTATACTATATTTTTAATCGACCCTATGATTTATAATAATAATTTTCAAATGTATTTAAATTGAAAATTGTTTTCTTATTTTTTATGCTATGGTTACCGACTATAAACTTCACTTACATTTTTTACCACTAAATGTGACCTAATGATACCATATAATTATAAAATAATCAATATTCATCAAATAGAGTTCGTTGGGTGACTAATTCAAGGATTTATAATGGTGTTTCCTACGTTTTCTAATAGGTAAAAGAAAATGATGAATTTTGAGCGCGCTCTAGCGTCAGTTTGGAACATCATAGAAATAAAGTTATTGTACGTATATTGTAGGGAATTTAGTGTACTTTAATTTAGTAAATGACAGTTATTGCAAAAAAATACTCCGTTTGTTAGTTATACGCAAAAAAGTAAAACAAGTACAGTATTTTATTAGTTTTTTGCGATTTCTGAAGTTAGCTCACCTCTGGCGAGGTGGCAAAGTTTAAAATCGGATTCAGCACCAAAAAATACATAAGAAACCACTGAGAAAAAAACTTCGGGAATTTTTTCCTGAAAACATATTCTTTTTTCCTCATATGCTTGGACTAATCTGGAATCCCTTCCTCAACAATGACCCAACCCAACCAACAATGATCTCCAAACAAAGAATACCTGTAGGTTTAAACAGAGTTTTTTACATTAACAAATGTTGGAGTAGAAGGTGCAAATGAATGACACATTACACGTATGTAAAAGTCCCACTGTCATGAGGCTCACATTACCGTACGAAACCGAGTTTCACGGTTCCCGGTTACAAGGCCGAGGTGTTGGTTTCTCGACATGAATGAGCCGAGTTTCTGGCGATAATGTGCACGAGTCCAGAACCGGTCGCCCCAGGATTACACGCACTGTGAGGTTGTAGTGAATGGGAGATGAAAGGCATGGAGTCCGGAGTAGAAATAGTGAAATGATTACATAATAGAGAGGATGCCGAGGAGTAGATTAGAGATTAGTGTTTAGTAGAACACTTTCAGTGACTGTACGTACGGCCACATTATATTATTTTAAAAGTAATGTTTCCTCGCAATAAAATACACCATATATTTTCTTTTATAGCAATTGGCTGACTATACTTGATTTGTAGTACATCTCAATGAATCCTACTACTGCACCTGCAACTTTCGCCTTCCCCCCTCTCGTCTTTACCAAAAGTTGTGATTACTGGTTAATAATCTTCTTCGGGATATTAAGCCACACGATTGATTGCGCTTTATTTTACAATAATCCTACACTTGTATTCTGTTTTCATACGCCCAATAGTTCAATATAAAATAAATTATAGATGATAAGGGTAAATTCTGTTCTGTGAAATCCACTTTTCCCTGTCAAAACTCAGGTTCAGTCACGATTTGTTTTTCTTTGCAGAAATAAGGATGCCGTTGACGAATAAAGAACACATTATAACATTTGCCTACATTATTTTGATTTGATTTATTTAAAACGAAAATGAAAAACGGCAAGTCTTATATGATAATCGTCAAGAAAGTCCGAGTCCAGTATTTGATGCGTCAAAACTTTTTTAAGTTTTCAATAAGTAATAACTATAAATATTTCAACAAATAACTAGTTCCATATTGGTTTTTTAAAGTATAAAACTCGTTTATTTGAACCCAGCTAATAATTTGATTTGGTTTGATTCAAAGTATAACGCGATGCTGATTGCTATGCAGTCTTGCGCTGCATGAAGACAGCAGTACAAAGTGGTAAAAAATCAGTTAGTACGTTCTTGAACGATCTTATGAAGATCAGTGAATGTGCAAGTTATTGACCGACAAGAGGCAGGTCTTCGACCGACTGCCTTTCTACTGGTCTGGTGTTTTGGCAAAACATGTTTACAAACGACACCAGTTTGGCACAAGCCCTGCTAAGATGACTTAGCAAAACAACTTCAATCGCGATAGAAATAGCAGAGCGATTAATAACCTGTATGCATTCGATATTTGTAAATTCCAACAGAGACCTCAACATATCAAACACTACTTCAATACTATACAGTATACTACACAATACTATGTCACATGATCTTCCTTATAGAATATACTGTTAATTTTGACATACACTATAACAGAAAACTGGGTACGGTAAACAAAATCAAATATTTATGTAAAAAAGCTTTGAACAGAGGCCGAAATATGGTAATTAATCCAGCATAATGTTACTCATCATATAGTATACTCCACTGTCGATGTATTCATCGAATATTATTCAAATTTATCTTAATGTTGTGTGCAAACGTCTCATACTCTAAATCCCACCATACTGTTCATATTCCTTGATTTTTCTATTAATTGTACACGCCATGCTTAACTCCCCCAATCCCAAGTGCCTGTCGTACTGATTGATCAGTACTGACTGACGTGACTTTTACCTGCTGTCTTTCATAGTCGATCCTTATTATCAATGTCTAGGCTTACGATGGACCATTTACAGTGAGGCTAATTCCTCAACACCATCATACGCAATTGTGGTTGTCTACTCAACAAGTGAAGCAAAGGTAAATTTTATAGTTAAGTTTCTCTAGTAGTCTATCTTATTAATTACACCTTAAACTTTCAAAAGGTCACATACATGGGTGCCTATTTGCAACCAACACCTAGTCACATAATGTGACAATGGCGCTGCGACAACATATTCCACACATTATTGGCATTAGCTTCACATGAGCGTTACATAAGGTTACGTAACATGGCTCAAACTCTAGGAAAACACGCGTTACGCAACCACATTGACAATATCATCGCGGTGACATGGGTGACGTCTGACGTCACTGAGTGAGAAGTGATTGTCTTTGATGATATGTGATGTGTCTTCTTATGTTGTCATCACAGATAATCGGTTGTAGAGTAGAGGAAAAGTGTTTTGGTAGGGTACTTAAAGTAAGAAATGGGCGAAAATGTTTACCTACGACCGTTTAGTAGCCGTTTCAGTTCAGTTCTTAGAAAAGTTTCACATAACAGAATTGTTTACTTTCATAACAGCATAGTTTTACTTAACAACAAGGGTAACGGACCAATGAGGTTCAAGGATCGAGAGAGAAAAAGTAAAATTGTAATGATTCGAACTCCAACTAATCAGCTGTTCAGGCCAATTTAATTATTGAATGGTGCAATAATTAGTGTTTGGTACAATGTTTCGTTGCATCACTATCAGAGGAAATGAGTGGTTATAAACGAAAACATAACCTCTCTTAGAAGTTAAGAGTAGTGATTTTTAGTAATTAAAACTTTGTCATAGGTAAAGTAGTGTACGCAACTCGCGTAAATAGTGTCAACGACACTCGTAGAAGTTTTTAAGGCACTCGCAACGGCTCTTACCTCAAATTTTCTACTCGTGTCGTTAACGATATCTTTGCGCAATCATTGTGTAAACTACAGTTATACTATAAACTTAGATTGAACAACTTAATAACAACACTGATTTAAATGACTTCAGTAAGATATTGCCTCAGAGAAACAGGTTCATGTAGAGATTATTCTACTAGAGATGCGCTAATCTACATTCAATTCAATCTGCAATAAATTAATTTCTCAGAGACCTAACTGATTGGTATTGCCTATCGTCTCATCCATTTTGCAGACAAGCATTTCTAATTAGATATACACTAGGATTAACACAAAGTGAGTGGCTGGTAGACGGGTTTGAGGACGACACTTCTGTCCGAGGAATCAGGGTTAAAATCTCGCCTATCACCATTGACTTTGGATACATAATAAGGCCGTTTAGGCTACATAAAGTTGTAGAGGTAGATTGTCTATTTGAGAAACAAAAGGGATTTTGAACGAGGAGAAAAAGTTTTACAATCGTGACATGTAGTATTCTTTGTTTGAAGTTCATTGGTGCTGATGGTGAGTTAATGTTGTTCAAAGGTTTATTGCGGACATTTTCCATCACGGTGGTAAAAAAAAATACACCAGTACACACCGTGTACAGTAATACAGTGTATTGTTTTTTACCATCGTGATAGAAAATGTTCGCAATAAACCTTTGAACAACATGTAGTATTCACTAGAAGAAACAAAACACTATTTAATTGTATATATGCCTTAAACTAGTAACTAATCAACCATTCTGAGAAAAGTTATGTTTGTACAGTAGGAACAAATTATGGCGTATTGAAATTGCACAAATCAATACGCTTCTTTTACCAAAGTGAAAAAGCTTCTTCTGTTACGTGTCTACATCTAATCACAGAGCAAGGAGAGGCAGGTAAGATCTCTTTGATACGTGTACTAATATTCAAACAATAGACTCAAGCGAAGATCGGAACAATGGTTTCACAACTGAGTGTCCACGAGCTGTAGAGCTACAATGTCAAGTAGAGGACAAACGATTCAGTGATGCTGCGATGAAGATCACTGATGCTCCACATCCTTCGCTCACATTGATTGTAAACTATACATCTCTCATTGGATTCTTTATCTTCGTCATTGTGTAGTATTATAGATTAAAGCGTAGACACTACTACTTCTTTATAATCTATTGTAGTATCAAGTAACTAACTAAACATCGGACATACAAAAATGTTTGGTGCTATATCACGAAGACAAAGTATTATTTACATCGTTGAACTGTCAACGGTTGGAAGCGGAGTGAGTGTCGTCCTATTTTTTCCCGTGGGGATTAACTGTCAAAACCGTAAGATAGGCCCGAGTGCCATTTGACTCCCCAGAGCGTAATACTGATTCAAGGAAGTGGTATTAGTGGAAGGGGGTGTAGTGGGCAGTATGTAACGGATACCGGGCACAGTTTATTAACTGAACTGCCCTAATATCGATTGTAAATATCGATCCGATTAGTAAACCTTCATTTAATATTTTCATGATCAGCAAGTTTGCTTAGATTAAGTTTTATTTTATCC